AGAGAGAGAGAGAGAGAGAGAGAGAGAGAGAGAGAGAGAGAGAGTTAATTTTATACCGTTTATATGTATCCAATTCAATTAGGGTCTGAAAGTTTGGTTTGTTCTTCTTAAACTGGTCTGCATGGCGGTTTGAAAGGGGGTGGGTCCGTTTGGCTTCAGAAAGAAGTAAAACCAGACTTCTAGGTGCATTATGTCTTTAGTCCACTTGTATTAAGTGCTAATTGATCCCCTTGCTCATGCGCTGGCCGTTGCCTCCTTCTCTTGTTGGCGCACCTCGCTGATAGCCTCTATCGTCGTTGTCAGTGGAGTGGCTGTTAGGCGCTCTGCCGTCCCACGCAGGAGACTCGGTTCGATTCCTGAGTGGGAAGAACTTTTATCTAGTGTCTATGTCTTTCTGTTGGGATGTTGTATCTATCTCAGTCCAGGTTGGCTATATCAGGCAGGGTCGAAACCTTGCCTCTAAATGATCTAAATTGTGTCGATGAGGGATTAAAAACACCTATTATTGAAATAAATAGAGCGTTTTTGTAAGCGGCATTACTGATCATGCATAATCTTAGGTGTGATTATTTCTTCTTGCTTTGCCTTTCATTGTTTTGGCATGTCCCGCAAATGTGTCATGTTTATGTGTGTGTTTTTTTAAAGTTTAGCGTTAGTGAGGGTATTACAGCACTTTCAACACAATTAGGTCATGTAAGTGCCGAGGATTAGAGGCCTAAATGACAAAGAAAAGAAAGAGTAGTGATAATAACAATAGTTGTTTGAAAGAAGAGAAAGAACAAACCACACCAGAGCACCCGCCAGCCGCCCACTCTACGTGTGTGGTCTTTGAATTACCACCCGTGCAGACACATTTCCCTTGCTGTCCGCTTGGTAGCGATTGTAGATTCGTCTTTCTCTTGTGCCACAGGAGCAGCGGATACGTCATGCGGCATTACTGTCTTGTGGTGAAATAGTCTACGTTCGTGGGTGGTGGGTGGGTGCTCAGGTGTGGTTTATAGCTTCTTCTTTCCCATCAAATCATATTGTCCTTATCTCTTCTCCTTTTTTGTGTATGTTACTGTCTTCTTACACATTTCTTCTTGCACTTATACGACCTTATTGTGTGCAAGTGCCGTAAATCTCTTACGGAAACTAAGTCTACGTTCTCGCGTGTCTTTGGCAGAATCGCCGACCGCTC